ATATTCATAGAACTTCTTGACTATATTAACGTTCTGGCTTAAAATCCATTTCTGGCATCGTTCAATAAGAAAGTTCACTTCCCTGTCTGTATTTGTAATTGTTCTTAGGTCTTTTCTTAGCTGTTCGTGATGTCCTGCGAGAAAGTCAAACACTATGTTAATCTGATTTACACTTGAGCTTTTGCACTCTTTTTTGATGCCTGCACGTAGTTCCGTGTATTTTTCTTGTTTTTCAACAGTTCTCTCCGCAATCTTACCAACTTGACAAACTGCCTTCAAATAGTGTCCAAGCATTAGTTTCTTTATCTTCTATAACTATGTCGGGTTTATTGGCACTGTTTTCTGGAGCTTTCTCAAGTTGAAAGGGTACATTCCAGTATATTTTTGCCTTTTCATTTTGAAGTACTGCTGATGGTAGACTTTGTTGGTACCATGGCGTCCCATTGTCGCTTTCCTGAAAGTTGTACTTTTCCAGCAAACAGTGGTATATCGGTCTCAACATTCTGTCGTGTCTGGCTGTGTAAAGGCTTTGGGCGATGTTTGAGCAGCCACTCAGTACATGTGTTGTTGATTCTGTAGCCATATGGCACATTCTGCATTTGGTGTCTGTGATGGTCATCTGTGCTTTGCTTTGTTGGTATGTCTTTGTTGGTAGTAGTTGTTGGCGTATGCTCTTGTTTACGCTGTAGACAATATCGGGAATGTTTTTCCACTTCTTCAGGATCTGGTTGGCTGTTGGTGAAATATGTTTGTCTTGGAGTTGTTGGTTGGTATAGGCTCCGAGCCATGTCTGCTGTTTTGTTTCTTTTATATACTTCTCCGTGATCTTTGATCGCAGCAGCTCTTTTATTGATTTTGGTGAAGGTGAGGTTATCGCTTTGGTCTCGTTGGCAGGTGTAGGGTCTTTACTTGTAGGTATTTTAGTGCATGCCTGTATCATCAAAGTCGCACGTGATGTTATATTCTGCTGCGTACTTGATGGCCTGTTTGAAAATTGACCTTCTACCTTGCTCGATTCTATTCATTTCAAGCGTTCTTGCATGCTTGATCCTCTTGTCTTTGCTGTTGTTGATATAGTTAGCCATTTTGATTGTTGTTAATTTGAAAGTGTCCTCAACGCTTTTCATGCCGCTTCCTCCTAGTTCTTCTGGTAGGTAGAGTAGTTTGATGGATTCGTGATGGTGCATTCCTCCTTTATTTTCTGACTATCTCTCTTGTGCATCTGTCTATGTCCTTCAGTTGGCTTATTTTCCAGTCGCTTGTCCACATGTGGTACTGAAGACCAGGTAGGGCAAAGGTCTTGGTCGCGTGTACTTTTCTTGGCAAGGATATGTTACTTGACCATATTACGAATAAGCGTTTCAGGTATTCCTTACTTGCTTCATTATAGACTTGTTCCTCTAGTTGCGTCGAGTTTTCATATTTACCGAGAAATTTGTATAATCGTTATTATTATTATTATTATTATTGATATTATTGTTTAAATAGATACATATATTTGCTGACGACAACATCACTCTTCAGAAGGTTGAACATGAAATAAAATATGTTCTACAGGATGACAAAAATAAAGGTAAATTAATATTGGGAATATCCTATAATAATGTCAAACAGCTTGGAATTATGTAGACGCAAGCCAAAAAAAAAAAAAACGCTGGTCGAAGTGAGGCTCTTAAAGCTACTAAGAGTAGTTTTAATGAAACAGTTTATATTGGATTGAAGAAAATTCAAGTTCTTCCTGTGTTTTCGGTGAAGAGAATGCTTGGATCAAGTACGTATTTACTTAAATAATTTGAAATAGCGACTTCTATATTTGTATGGGTTTATTTGCAAACTAATTTCGGTCGGAGAACCATGGGTGATGCACAGCTCGATTTTTCTTTAGCGTTACTAATTTACTATAATATAGTTGTCAAATAATGTGTATTTAACTTAAGATTTCGAAGAGAAAAACGTGAAATTAGTGTGATGAAAATTAAACAACAAGTTTTGGTCCCATTCGCCATTTTTTTAAACGTTTACATATCAAAGTTTTTACATTTGCTCCAAATAACCTTAGCTTTACCGTCTAGGTCTTCTTTTTATTCAATCATTTTTCTACATGGTTGAGGTAGTTATGGTTCTGTGAAAATTGGCCRTGTTCATGATATACACTCACCAAATACAATGCGTCTAGTTTTCATTGCATTGCATCGCGGGACTGTTYTAGGGTACATATTTATATTATTCATAGTAATTCYAAATTAAGCGACAGTTTAAGATAAGGATATCAGTTTTAACCTCAAGGACGTGTGCCTTTTAAGGCCAGACCTTGCATGAGATGCCGAGAAATTTTTCGTCTTTCAACATGGAATTTCGTCTGAAGTAGCTTCTGGGTTTTCATGAGCAATTTGTTTCGTGCGTTATTGGCTATAACGCGCGGCGTTCGAATTCACGGAGATTTTTTTTGTTTCATTTTTTTAGGAAAGTCATCGAGTCCCTTGAGATGTACGGAAGCCCTGGAGGGACATTTCATATTTCAGACTTCAGACTTAGGATATTTCAGACTTCGGACTTCTTCCAGCGCTTCCCAGCCTTATGTTTACATTTAGCAAAACTCAAACCTTTTTCTTTTCGAGTTTCAAATTCTGGTCGAATATGAATCATCCGGCTTTATAATTACATCCAGGTTCCAATGACTTCACTGTCATTCACTGATTTATRATTTCAGACTTCAGAGTTGAAGCCTAATTGTCAGACTTCAGAGTTGAAGCCTACATTTCATACTTCAGAGTTGAAACTTCAGATTTCAGATTATAATAAGTAAATTTCAAAATTGAAATTGCTTTGCTTGGGATTCCTGTGAAAAGCGCGTTGTCGTGCTGACCAAGAGGAACGGGACTCAAGGTCCAGGCTTTGCACTCGACTAGAAAGCTAAGATCTGTACCAGTTCAATGCCAGTTCAAATTGATATCAGTAGATTAGGATACAAATTTTATCAAACACTCTAAAAGGAATATCTGAAATATCCTAAGTCCGACGTCTGAATATCCTAAAGTCTGAAGTCTGAAATGTCCCTCCAGGGCTTCCGTAGGGATGAGATTTTTTGGAACTTCAATTATTTTCAATTTTTCAAAAAAAAAAAAAAAAAAAAAAAAGCTTTATCTTCAGACTAAATAAAGTGGGGTTCACTGACTTTTTTTAGAGCAATAAGAGTTTGAAGAAGTGATAAACGTGTTTCCATGATATTTGGCTCATGAATACATTCAAATGATGTACTGCGCGCAAACAATTCCCCCGATCGTCCTTAATTGTCGAATATGAAATTAGTTTCTTTTATTTTTAATAATTGATATTAATACTTTATTGTTAATGGGTATTTAACTACTAATTTTCTTAGGCATTATGTGCATCTTCAAGAAGTTATTTCGTAGTCAAAAGACTTGTTATTTTGTATTTGCTTTTAGTCGCCAAGAAAGTATTGGAGTGGGGAAAACACACTTTAGATGGATGTCCGCTGACCATCCAGCCAAAGGAAACTCCTTCTTTGGACGAAGAAGAAGACCACGAACAACCTGTACAGCGGTCTAGAGTAGTTAGAGTTATAGGG